CTTTTCCTACCTACCGTCCATTGGCCCAGTTCCCTATAAGCTTTAAATATGCTCCACCCCTTCTAAGTTAGTTGGGGAATGTGAATATCTTCTTTCCCAGCTTAGCTTTACCATTCAACTTCCAAAATTGGCACTGAAGTTTGTGATCCACGGACATTTAGAATAAACTGTATCATGGTTTGTGTAATTTTATATTCCTTTTTTCTCTGTTTCAGTGTGCTCGGTATGATAATGCCTTCATTGCAGAGATTCTGATCGACAGAGGAGTCAATGTCAACCACCAGGATGAAGACTTCTGGACGCCTATGCACATTGCGTGTGCGTGCGATAACCCCGACATCGTCCTGCTTCTGGTGTTAGTAAGTACTTCCATGTATCTACCACTTGAAGCTGTGCTAGGGGTAAAAGGCATATGCTTAATATATTTTACAATGTGGAACAATTTGAGAAAAATGTACAAAAGTCATCATTTATTTACCAGGACCATAAGATGATTAGAGACTAAGAGTATGGTTCACTTAGTTCATACAAGTTGTTTAGACACCATCATGCTAGTCTGCACCCTCCTTCTTCTCATTGGAACTTAAGATGCCTCAATACAAGTCAGTCATATCTAAAATGATTAGATAATTTAGCTTTTCAATTCAGTTTCATTTCTATATTTTTAGACACATCGGCATAAAGTTATAAGGAGATACGGCTTATGTTAAATCTTTTATTGGTTACATTTGGTAAAGAAGTGTCTTCAACATTTGTTTACATGAAAATGATAACTTTAAATATAAAAAGGGTTGAAATTGATCATTATTTTCAGTTACAACTGAACATGGACATTCATTCTCTCTCACACTTTATTTTGGAAGTAAGATAGTTTTTTCCAATTAGTTTACCTCTATAAAAGATTTTAAGAAATTGTGCAAGATGTTTAGAAAATTCACTGGAATATAAGAGTAAGGATGATTTGCTTTTTTCTTGTATGTTGATAAACATTATCTAATTTCTTAATGAGTCACTCTTATGTGCTTCAATTTTCATATGTGTTATTTCTCTTAAGCTTTCAAGATTTTATACACAAGTCATTTGATGCTCAAATGCTTTAAGTAACTTGTTGTAGCCCAAAAAACAAACTGTAGATTTGAACTCAAATTTACTGCCCAAAGTCGATGCTTTTTTCACAGAGCTATGTTGCCTCTACCAGCTTCCTATTGCCTGTCATAACAAATTACCATGGATGTGGTAGCGGATGAGAAGTTTATACTCAGGTCTGAGGTTAGAGTCTGAAATCTAAGCACCCACGAGGCCACTCTCTCCTGCAGGCTCTTCCTTGTTCTCCCAAGTTACGGCTGCTCCTGCCATCCTCAGTGTCCCTGCCTTGTGGAGGGACCACTCCCGTCTCTGCCTCCATCAGCACCCAACTTTCTTCTGTGTCTCTGTTCACATGTTTCCCTCCTTTCCTGTATTGGGTTCACGGCCCACCCCAATGCAGTAGGACCTCATTGTAACATAATTCCATCTTCAAAGACATGACTTCCAAAAAGAGCTCATTTACAGTTATTAGGGAGCATGTCAGTTTTTGTTGGAAACAATTAAATCCATTACCCTTCCCCTCTTTTTCCTTTCTTTAAAATTATGAGCAGAAGTATTTTAAGATTAAAGACTATGAGTTGGGACTTTCTTACTCATATATAGGGTTTAATTTTGTCTAGCTTTCTCTGATTTGTCCTTTTAGAACACATATAGTAAAAATGTATGTCTCTGAAAATGTGTTTCTTTTAAATCCTAGAAAGTGGAGGCTATGTTAAATTAATGACAAAGACAAAGGAAATCTTTACTTTGCTTAAACTAGAAGCTTTTGCAGGGCTGATACGTGACATGTGAAAACATGAAAGCTACTTAACACATTTATAAGAACAAAGTCTTCATTTTGAAGAAATAGGGCCTGAGAGGCATGAAATTGACAGTTTAGTATAAAAGCTATGGAATTTTCTGAGTATTGAAAGAAAATATGGAACATATTAGGGAAGTGAACGGAATCACCTTTTGAGTGAGGCTGTTGTGAAATGACCCACTTTGGAACTCTGTAGATGCTTAATGGCATTGTGTCCAAGGCTGGGTTGTTTAAGAACAGGGTGAGTCTGTGCTACTTATTTGATAACATTTTTTTTGATAAGTCAACCACTGAATCACTTCTTTGATTAGATGAGAACTGGATAGAAAAGTTTGATTCATGGCCTTTGTGGTTTTTCTATGTTCTGAATTATTTTTTCTAAATATCGGTTGG